GCCCAAGGAGTCTCCACTTCATTTTTTTCGGTAAGTAAAATTGTATTTATGTATTTTAGGTCACTGCCGTGCTGAGCTTAGATTTGAACATGTACTGTTTAACCATGAAATTTAAATGTAATAGGGTAAAACCCAGTGCGTTTAACATAATGCTGCACTTTAGAAAATGGGTTGAAATAAAACATGTTGGTGGAGCTGGGTTCCCACTATTGGCTCGTGGAGCTCTCGGGAGACCTCTGCTTTCCACCCGGTACTCCCCTCCCCGCAGCTCAGCGCAGCTCTGTCTGATCGCGGCTCCTGACTGCTGCGCGGGCTGCCGGCCTGTGGAGCTCTGGATGGAAACCTTTCCACCCAGTTCTCCCCAGCGGTTGTTCTGTGCATCTCAGGTCGCAGTGGCGCTTGTTTGCTGTGCGGCTGCCGGCTTGTGCAGCTCTCGGGAGACCTCTGTGTTCCACCCGGTTTTCCCCAGCGGTCAGCCCGGCGTATCTCTGACTCAGATGTTCTGGTGTTGTGCACAGTTAACTCCGGTTGTAGCTAGGTTGCTACCTCCGTTAGCTTAGCTCCCACCTCCGCGTTAGCTTTGGGTTAGCTTCAGGTTAGCTTGTAGCTAGTTCGACCGGTGTCATCAGTTGATCCCAGCCTTACAGCCCCACCCTCAGCTCCACCTCTCTTCCCTTTTGTGGAATTGTCTGGGCTTGACGGAACCTGTAACACGGTCAAAATGGCGGTGGTGGCCACCTCCCAATTTTCTTCAAAATCGTGTTATTCACATGATCAAGTTCATCTGCAAGGAAAATAATTGAATCTGTGATGAAATATTATCAACATCATCCTCTAAGAGGAGTGTTTACCCTTACAAACACCAGCAGGCTTCAGCAGTAAAGAGTCTCCACATGATGATGGTGCTTACTGGTGTGGAGAGAAAGAAAAAGATGGAAGTTCCCGAGCTGGACTCACAAAACTAAAGGTCAAAGGTGAGAAATTAACATGATCAGTCTTTGGGTTTTGATCTAACATGAAAAAAGACTTAAACTCTACTTTTCCACAGACATAAAGGCCTTCAGAAAGTCACCAGCTGCTGGAGAAAACCTTTGTTTCCACTACAAGAACTTCAGGGTAGATTTACTGGAACCTCCCGCCATGGCGCGTGTCTCCACCTGACCGGGCCGTCCCAACGGCCGTTTTCAGGAACCTTCTGAGTACCTGCTCTGGAGTAGGTACTCAGAACGGCCCGGTGGAGTAGCTGAGCAGAACCTCCGGCTAACTCATGATTGGTTGTAACTTGGTAGGAAATGACATCAGCAGACGTCCAAAACAATCGGCAGCAATAAAATTAGAAGAGTAGCCGGTGAAGCAGAATGGAAGTAAAAAAGGAAAAAAAGCAGCGATCACATTTAGAATATAACTCCCAAAACTCGGTGGAATTCCACCACAGCTGTTGGAAGAAATGGGGAAACTCCCCCACAGACTTAATTAATGGAGCTTGTCTCGCAAAACTCAGAGCTGCTCTTGTCCTCTGAATGGATTAAATTATGATATACTTCTATAAAATAAATGCTTTTAATATTAATAATGTTACTTTATTGGGGCTGATCAGTGACATCACTCACTGTCAAAGCAGCCGTGATACGCTGACATCTGTGCAAGTTCTGAAAGGGCTGGATTTGAATGAGACACAACAGCTGAGAGGATTGGGACATCCTATCTCCTGGTTCAATTCCCCATCCCACAGTGGCGTGTCCAGATCTTTTAAAATGGGGTGGCCCAGGTGAGGCACAACTTTGTGCATGGGTAGCACCAATGGTTATGCTTTTTTTGTTTCACCCCCAAGCCTTTTGTGGACAATGAAAAGCCTATTTAAAGATAAATTAGTGTGGTGGCACCTGGGGTGGCCAATCATATTCCAAGGGTGGCATGTACTACCCCAGGCCACTCCCTGGATACGCCCCTGCCATCCCAGGAACTACCCTGGAGATCTGGTAATGGAAACATGCCTAATGACGATTTAAAACATCTTACAACGTTCATCTGTAAGGGAGAAGATCCTACTACATGTCAGCTTCTTTTAAACACAACAAAACTAAATATGGACCACAGATTTTTAATGAAAGAAGCTGAAACAAACAAATTCGCCATAACAATCAGAGACGTAACAGCTGATTCTGGGTGCTACTGGTGTGGAGCTGAAAACACCGACGAACAACGCAGCTAAATATTCACCCACAGAATGTCCTTAAATGTTGGCGAGTTGTGATGTTTTAATCTGACCCACGTCCGGTTTGTGGAGTTACTCTGATTAATGCCGAGCTCACATTTTTCACACATCAGAGAGGATGGCAGCTGGATGAGACACATCTGGAGAGTTTAGTTTTTGTTTTCCTTCAGGACCAGCAGTCGCATCTCCTGTAACTTCTAAAAGTCCAACTAAAACTGGTAGGAGATTATTATTATTATTATTGTTATTGTCATGAATTTCCACCATTTTTAAGAATGACTGGTGATTATTTAATGTTGTTTTGCAGGCAACTCAAAGTAAAGAAACAAACGTAATGGTCTGTGGAATCCAGTTGGTGCTGCTTCTGGTTATTATCACAGCAACAAACATCGTCTACAAGCGTAAGACTTTTAATCACTTTGTTGTTTACAACATAGAAATCTTACATATGACGTTCAAACGTAAGATCACGATGTTTGAATGCTTAATTGTGATAATTATTTTAGCTCTTTCTCAGGTTTAAAAACAAAATGTAAAAGAAAATGATGGAGTCATTTTAAGGAGCTGACATTTGTTGCATCAGTTCCCTAAATTAGAAACGTGATAAAAAATGTAACTTTATCTCTGTCATCAAAGCGCAGGAAGCTGCTGTTTTTATCTGAAACAACAACAACAAAAGCCTCCAATCACATATAAAAACATGATAGCACAAAGTAATTTATCAGTTGCATGAGACAAAATCTGAGTTTGCAGGTCTGCAAGCTTAAATTGTGAGTTTTTTTCTGCCTTCTTCTTTCTTTCTTGAAAAAGTTGCAGTGTCCACCCGGCTTAAGTCCCCATAAACATTGAACACTTTTAACCAAAATGTTTATTTGGATAAAATCTAATTTACCTAAATGGACCAAAATAAGGACAATTAAAGAAACTGACTCTGACATGAAGCATGTATGGTGCTGCAGCCAGCTGCTGTTAGATAGCTGCCACTAGCAGATCTATGATTACAAGTATGATTCAAGTGTGAGTGCCTGTGATACGTGCATGTCACTTTCTTCTCATTCAGGATGGGCTCCAGAGCTGCCGGCTTGATGCTGGCAGCGATGGACGATGATCGCCATCAGACACGTCAGCACGCTGAGCTTCAGAGCCCGCTGGTTCTTCCTCAGGAAGGAGCCCAACAGAGACAGAGCCTCTGGCAGGATGGGGACAGGTCAGCCTGAAGAGGAAGGGAAGTTTTTTTTTCACATCTCTAGTTTGTCTTTTGTTGACAAATATGTGTGCTGAACCTTTAACTGACCTTTTATCCCCACAGATCACCTCACGGAACCTCAGATCCACATCTGAAAACCTCCCGACTGTTCCTCGAACCAGACTGAAAACCAAAGGGGACAGGGCCTTTCAGACTATTGCCCCCAGACTTTGGAACAGTCTACCTTCAAATCTCTGTCTCTCTAACACTGTAGAGGTCTTTAAAAATCATCTAAAAACTCACCTTTTCATCCAGGCGTTCCCTCCCTAAAAGTTCTAAAAGATGGCTTTGTTCGGGTTCACACCTTCACTTTGTTTTTACTCGTGATTTTATTTACTATTTTATCACTGCTATTGTTTTTCTGATATTTTTATTGGTTAGAGGTATTTGCCCTGATCTTACTCATGTTGTGCAGCGCTTTGTGATTTATATCTGTGAAAGGCGCTCTATAAATAAACTTTTACTTACTTACTTTACTTAACAGGGAAGCAGAAATGAGGGGGCTGGTTCTAACGGCAGTTAGCTTTGTTATCTCCTTTTATAATCTCTCCAGAAAGATGGCCAGGACCCCCTGAAGCTCCGATCCCAGGTGGTCTCCAAGGAGACACACCAGGTGATCTATGCAGGAAATGCATCTTTCCTTCACTTCCTGGTTGATGTCTGCTGCTTTGAGCCTCTTCACCATTACAAAAACACCTTCAGGAAGAGTTTTATGGAGAACAGGTGACCAAATAAAACACATCTGGACTCAACCAACAGCTGATCCAAAGCGAACACATGGAAGGATGAAAACAAGAATAAAACAAAGTCTGCAAGAACAAAACATTTCTTCATGCTTTAATTGATTTTCTGAAGGAACCCGACTCCTTCTCGTCTCACAGGTTCTGGCAAACCCGTTTATGAAACCAACACACATTAAAGCAATAAGGTGAAGCAAAGCAGTTTCCTGGTAACATAATCAAGAATTGTCAAAGAGAATTAGTTTTAAACTTCTGCAGAAAACTTCCTCGGCCGGGGCCAACACCCTTCTTTGACATACGGCTTTAGGTCAAACGCTGCAGACACGGCTGTCGGTTCCTGAGGTCTCCTCAGTTTTATCAGCTGCTGAGTGACCAGCAGGGCCTCAGATGTGATCTCATAAAAGCTGTCCTCCACACACACACCAGGACAGCAGGGAGCAGAACCTGCTGGAGACGCAACAGCATGACACCCAATCAGAAGTTTGGTCTTCAGTGGCCTCTAACTAGGCTTTTATTATACGAAGATTCAGTTTTAATGCGTTTGTTACACCCCTCTGTGGGCTCTGCTAGGAAGGAGAGGGGCATAAACATAAAAAGGACAAGTTTAACGCAAAGTAATCCTAACGGAGGAGAAAAAGGCTTGACCAAGCAAAAACCAAAATCAAAGTGTCCTTGTCTTTACAAAGGTTTTATTAAAAAGAAAGGAAACCAAAAGAAGGGGCCAAAACCCTTACCACAAAATTAACCAAGTTAAAATTAATTAACTGAAAATGTCCAGAGGACCAACCACTATAAATCCTAAAATTAATCTCCTTTATTAAAACGGACTGGAACTGTGGGCAAAATCCCCACCAAGTAGTTAAAAGGTTTGTCTAAAAGACAAACCAAACAAAAAGGTACTATCAAGTAACTTAATTTGTCAAAACACCAAAACTACTAAATAGCTTTGCTATATTTAAAACGGGAAACAGAGACTCCAAAAGAGGAAAAACCCCACCTGGTAATTTACCAAAGGTAGTCTAAGAGACTCACCAAACCAAAAATTACCGGTTAACTAAGAATATCTCAAAACATCAAAATTCCTAAGATTACTTTTCTCAAAAGTAAGCCAAACAACCTGGTTTTAACCACAAGACCAAGATAACCACAAAGGGGAGCGAACACACGTTGCTGTTGCAACCTACAAACATTTCTCTCCCCTGATGAGCTTCAGCTGGCCGCTTTTGAGGGGCCGGCTGATGAGCTGAAAAGTCCCAGCTGGACGTGACGGCTGCTCTGGCGCTGTCCATGGTCCTGAAGTAAAGACAGCTTCCCAAGGAGCAGCTGTCCAAGGTGCTGCGCTGCTGAACTGCTGAACATGAAAATGGGAGTGCAACACACCACTGGGCTCCAAAACGGCAGCGGCCGTAACAGTGTTCTAAAGGGAACCACTGAGAAGAACCTGCATGTGCCGCTGTTACGCTCCAGGCTGTCTAGGGGGCCTGGGGTAACAATGAGGACGCATGTTCTCGTGGTAAAAGTAACAAACCAACATTTATTTACATAAATATAAACTCAAAACACAGATTAACAAGAAACATCAGCAGCAACGCAAAACGATTAACAACTAAACTCTCATATTAACCCAATTAATACAAAAACCACGAAAGACCATCACATTATTTTTCCTAATTTCCGAGTGATGTCTTAATTAAAACAAGCGAAGGGGTAAAGGCTGAAGAATATTGAGAGCTGGGCTGTACACTCAGATAAAACAAAACAAAACTAAGTACAGCAACTTTTCTAGAGTAATGAAACCAGGGATCGTAACAGCCGCTGAGAGGTTTGTGGAGGGTGTGAGAGGAGGAGGACGTTAAAGAAGGAGAGAGCATCAATCCTCATGGTGGAGGAGGTGAACTTATCTGTCAGGGAGAAGATGATGCCTGGAGGAAAGAGGTAGTCCTGAAAACTTGAACGTTTTTGTTGGAGGAGTACTGCTGTCCGTTTTTCCAGACTCCTGCTCCTCCTACACCTGCTGCAGCTCTCGCTGCTGCTCCTCCTGCTCCAACTCCCCGCTGCTGCTACTCCTGCTGCTGCTTCTTCTGCTGCAGCTCCCGCTGCTGCTCCTGCTGCTTCTAATACTGTTCCTGCTGCTGCTCCTGCTGCTGCCAATACTGTTCCTGCTGCTGCTGCTCCCACTGCTGTTCCTGCTGCAGCTCCCTGCTGCTGCTATTCCTGCTGCAACTCCCCTCTGCCAGTCCTCCAGCTCCCGCTCCCGCTCATCCTCCTTCAGCTCTTCCTCTTGTCTTATCTGAAAAAAAGGCATCACAAGGTTAAAGAGCTGGATCTACCAACACTGGTTTTTCACCCGTTTCTCAATAAACAACATTCATAACATTCCAACACCCTTTTCTCCCAGGATCAGTAATGATGTATCAGTGAATATTTTCACCTAAAAACATAAATGAACATTTTTGTTTCAATAGTAAAAGTGTCTCAGAAAAATCCTGCTAAACTTCTTGTGGCCTCAGATCTAAAGGAGCGGTCTCCCATCCCAGCATCTGCAGCCCCAGTGCACGCCAAAGAACAACCACATCATCTGCAGGAGGCAGAGATGAGATCCCAGGATTCCCAAACCACAGGTTCTCTTTTCCACAGGTTCTACCAACAAGATCGGAGACCAACGAACGTCCTAGCAGAGTTCAACCCGCTCTGGGAACAAGCTTGACTTTGTGGTAATAATGTGCTCAAACTCTGGGGCTTTGACGTGATTTCATGTCAGATGATGATTCCACTAAACATGGATGTTCTTAGCTGCATCGTGAGTAGATGTTGTGTTTTAGTGTTCTGTGTATTACCCTGATGTTCTGCTCCACGGCCTCCATGATGAATGCTAGAAGCGTGTTCCAGAGGATGATCTGGGAGATGATGACGAATGAAACAAAATAGATCATTGGGATCCATTTGTCTCTGCCAACGCAGGAGTCATCTCCGGGTCTGCATGGTCTGCTGGCGTCCTGCATTACATGAGAGACAATGTCGTTCACTCTCTGGCGGGCAGGCATGAGCGGCCAGAGTCAACGTGGTGAAATGCATGTGTGAGTTTAGACGTATGATCCAGAGGTCACTCCAGTTGTCGCCTGTGAATATCCTGATGACGTCAGAAACGCATGTCCAAAGTGTTTAAAATTAGCGTAGCGGTTCAGGCCGATGCAGGGGTAGTCCTCAGAGCATTCTGGTCAACACACATGAGATCATGGATGTTACTACATCTGCAGCCTGTGTGTGTGTGTGTGTGTGTGTGTGTGTGTGTGTGTGTG